CTGTGTGTGTGCTCCAGGAGCAGCCCTGGCAAGTTTTTTACCAGTGCCCAATCACCTGAAGGTAGATGCACAATACTCATGGTCTATGAATACAATACCCATGTCCAGTACTGTACTTCAAGATAAGGAATTTATGGGTAAATCAAAATGACTATTTTACCATACAGTGCTAAATTGATGCTGTTGATTAACCACTTGCCCTCCAGAAGATTTACCCCCCCTTCCTGACCAGGCCATTTTTTGCGGTATGGCACTGTGTTTCTTTAACTGACATTTATGTCCTTTTTTTCTCCAAAAATAGAGCTTTCTTTTGATGTTATTTGGTCACCTGTGCGGTTTTTATTTTTTGCACTATAAACAAAAAAAGACTGACAATTTTGAAAAAGAAAAACAGTATTTTTTGACTTTTTGCTATGAAACATATCCATTAAAAAAAATAAAAAAATCAACTTTCTTCATAAATTTAGACCAAAATGTAGTCTGCTACAGAACAAAATCTCAATACATGTATATTAATTGGTTTATGTAAAAGTTATAGCATCTACAAATGGCGGTATATATACTGGAATTTTTATTTTTATTTTTTTTATGCTAGTAATGGCAGCGATCAGCGAATTATAGCGGGACTGCGGCGGGCATTGGATGGGAACTAACTGCCACTGACATCCCGATGACACTAATACAGTGATCAGTGCTAATAAAGAGCACCGACAATGTACTAGTGACACTGGGCAGGAAGGGGTTAACATCTGGGGCGATCAATGGGTTAACAATGTACTGTGTGCTGTTTTACATGATGTGCTGTGTTTTATTAGGGAGACATGCTGCTGTGCAGATAAATACACAGCAGCATGTCCTTGCTGGCAGGAGAGAGACCTGTATTGTCTCTCCCCTGTCAGTTCTACACGGCCATCGCTGGGTGCCGGTGGGGAATCTCCGGTCGGGACCCGGTGTTTGTTATCCCTAGCCACCAATGGCGGTGCAGGAAAATGCAAATTACGTATATATACATAATTTTGTGCAGCCCTGCTGCCCTGTAGCAGTAGTTCTACTATAGGGTGGTAGAAAAGCGGTTAAACATAGTGTTGTATGATCTTTATGTTTTCTTTTTCTGCAGTTTGTTTATGTAACGGTGTAAGGGAGGTGCTATCACTCAGGAAAAATACATCCTGTCATTTTTGCCAGTAGGGCTAAAAAAAAAAATAAATAGTTGCCAACATTTGAAAACAATTAAGAAGGACACCTTGAAGGGACCAAGGGACACCTCTCAAAGTGATTGGGTGTGGCCTTAGTCAAAGAGTTGCTTCCTGACGTATGGCTTGTAGTGTGGCACCATTTCCTTGATGCTTTGCTATGCTTTATATAAAATAGGTCCTACCCTGAAGAGGAAGTGGGAGTAAAATAACACCTAGCATCAATGTCAATCATAGCAATAACCCCAAGTGCCAGTGGCCACTATAGTAATTCCCCATTATTTTTGTCAGTGGGTACAGCAAAAAATCTCCAGCATTGATATCAGTGGCTGCAGCAAGAAGGTTTAAAGGGGCATAGTTTAACTACTTGACCTCCAGAAGATTTACCCCCCTTCATGACAAGGCCATTTTTTGCTATACGGTGCTGTGTTACTTTAACCTCTTGGTGCCGGCCACACGCAAATGTGTGGCCTCCCGGAGTTTGGGCCTTGACGCCGAAGAGCCGCACATTTTCATGCAATTAGGAAAAACACATGTGCTGAGAGAGCGCGCCCTGCACGCTCCCAGCACACATGTCCGGTACTCACGGAAAGGTCCCAATCTACTCTTTTGATCGGGACCTTTCCAGATCATGTGACCACAGTGACGGCATGTCAAGACGGTCATACGACCCTAAACTGTACTAATGATACTGGGTAGGAAGGGCTTAACATCTGGGGTGATTAAACGGTTAGCGGTGTACTGTTTTGTGCTTAATGTCAGGGGCGTCACTAGGGTTGGTGTCACCTGGTGTAGTAAAACATGGCATCACCCCCCCTCCACCAAGTATAGACCCCCCTCCGTTAGTACAGACCCCCTTCTCCGCTAATTATAGACCCCCCCCTTCCTCAGTACAGACCCCCTTACCTCAGTACAGACTGCCCCACAGTATAGACCCCCACCTCCCCTCAGTGCAGATCCCCCTCCTTTAGTATAGACCCTACTCCCTCAGTACAGACCCCCTTCCCTCAGTACAGACCCCTTCCCTCAGTACAGACCCCCACCCTCAGTATAGAACTCCTCCCTCAGTATAGACCCCCCCTCTGTACAGACCCCCTCCCTCAGTACAGCCCCACCTCAGCACAGCCCCCTCCCTCAGTACAGACCCCCCTTCCCTTAGTATAGACCCCCTCCCCCAGTACAGACCCTCTCTCCCTCAGTATAGAACCCCCCTCCCTCAGTACAGAACCCCCCTCCCTCAGTATAGACCCCCTTCCTCAGTACAGACCCCACCTCAGCACAGCCCCCTCCCTCAGTTCAGTCACCCCTCTCCACTTGTGCTAGCTAGCTTGCCCCCCTTCATGGTCAGTCTGTCCCCCTCCTCTGTCCAGCTACAATATAGTAAACTTCGTACAGTCCTCAGATCAGCGGGGGACATGTACAGCGGCGCCCCTCCTTATCCTGTATGTGTTCAATTTAAATAGCCGAGTAGGGGAAAGCAGCTTCAGTAAGGAATCTGCTCTGCTGTGTGAGCCGGGGACAGAGATGTAACACAGACAGCAGGCGAGAGATGTGGATCAGACACAGGCTTGGTGTTAGCAGGGCCCCTGAGGACAGGTGTCACCCCTCTGGCAGGTGTCACACCTGGGTATGGTCCGCACCCGCATAGTGACGCCACTGCTTACTGTGTGCTGTTTTACTAGGGGATCGCCAGGAGACAGCAACAGCGCGGATGGGGTGCGGAAATACCCCCCTACCCAGAAATGCAAAGTCACGTATATTTACATGATTTTGCACAGAGTGGCCACCCTGGAGCAGTACATCTGCTTCAGGGTGGACTTAAAGTGGTTAAAAAAACCTCCAATGCACAGGACAAATACGCCAAAGACATTTTACCCATAAAACATGCTATAATGACTGTGCTTCAAGTGAAAAACTGATAGACAATTACAAACCTCAGGACACTTTGTTTAAAAAAATAAAACTGTTCCAATATATATACTTTTGTACACACAGTCTACCTTAACAAAGAACTTCAGAAGTTCAGTAGTCAGGAATATCAGAAGGAAAGACCCATAAGCCGCACATCAAAGGCAGACCAATGTGCATGAGGTGAAATAAATGGCAGCCTCAGCTCGGACTCCAGCCAGGCCATGCCCCCAACTTATTTCACTCTGCCCCTTGGAACTTAATCATGGGGGTCCCCATGAGTAAGCTCCAAAGGGCAGAGTGAATCATGTTGGAGTGTGGCATGGCTTTGATGTGCACCTTATGGATCTTTCCTTCTGACATTGCTGCAGCTTGGAGGTAGGACAAGCTCTCTATCTCTGCCAGCACTCACAGCAGTCTAGTTTGAACTTCACCTCCCTACTTGAGCAGCAGGTAATTTTGTTTTTTTTTATCCAGGAAAATGTTATACAGCTTAGTGTACAGTAATCGGGAATATAAACTGTACAATACAGTGTCTATAGTGCAGGGCTCAGGAGTGCATATTGCATCACTATAGACTAATACTCCAGCAAAGACCCCTCGGTATAGACTGACCCCCTCAGTACAGACCCTCTCAGTATGGAAACTCCCTCCCCCAGCACAGACCCATCAATTCAGACAGACTCTCCCCAGCACAGACTGCTCAGTAGGTGGACTGCCATCTTAGCACAGACCCCTCTGTACAGACACCCCCACCAAACACACAAACAGCACATACTGCACCCCTGTATCCATCTTAGTATGCCACTGTCTACAATAATTAGCTTTTATTCATTTATGTAAAACTTTTATCCAAAAAACTGTTGTAACTGCTTTAAAAAGTGTTAGCTAAAGTTTATCTTTAATTTGTTAGTCAAGTCCATCTAAATCTTTTAGTGCATCTAACACTACCCTCTCCCCAGATTGAGAATGCAGATGTCCAAAGGCATCTCTGTTGCTCCTCCTCAAGAGTGGAGATACACCAAGACATGAAGTGTAATAATAAATGGAAAAAAAGAATTACCGTAGTAAGCAGCAATGTAGTAAAGTTTTATTTGTTATTTTTGGGTTTCATACTGCATTAGAATTACAAAGCTTACATTGATACTATCAATCTGACTTTCTAAGATGGTGCTCATGTTCTTGTTCTTCCATGCACAAAGATGGTGTACAGATCTTGCAAAAATTGTTTAGCTATGGCTTTAGTATCTCTCTACCCAATAAAACTTTTGAAAAGAGAAAGAATTAAAGGCATCAGCTTGTTATGCATAGTTACATTAGTTCAGCTTTGACAAATGTACCAATGTGTATACCATAGCTGGCCAATGCTCCTGGAAGCTGTAAAACACTGAAGTAGACACCTCTACTTCAGGGATCTCCCCTTGCTTCTGCTGCCTTGCCAAGTTGCTCCTCTCCTGCATTGTGAAGGCAGGAGTTTGGCTGCTCGGCACATGCGTCATTCACAGAATGCTTTGCATTTTCTGAATGACTGTAAAGTGTTCTCTGATTGGACGTGGTGGAGAAGTGGGATGGTGAGGTCATGCTCTCCACCTCATCCAATCAGAAAACTCTTTGCATTCATCCAGAAAATGCAAAACATTCTCTGAATGTCTCCCATGCCTAGTGACCAACCTTATGTATTCACAATGCAACAGGCCAGCTGCTCAGCACAGGACCCAGGAGCAATTGAGATCACTGAAGCAGTGGTTTCTACCTCAGTAAATTCCAGATTCCAGGGGGATCAGTCAGATATGCTATACAGAATATTGCCAAAAGTATTGGGACATTCCTCCAAATCATTGGATTCAGGTATTCCAATCACCTCCATGGCCACAGGTGTATAACATGAAGCACCTAGGCATGCAGGCTGCTTCTACAAACATTTGTGAAAGAATGGGTCGCTCTCAGGAGCTCAGTCAATTCAAGCATGATATCATGATAGGTTGCCACCTGTGCAATAAGTCCATCCGTGAAATTTCCTTGCTACAAAATATTCCACGGTCAGCTGTTGGTGGTATTATAACAAAGTGGAAACAACTGAGGACAACAGCGACTCAGCCACGAAGTGGTAGGCCACTGAAAATGACAGAGCAGAGAGCGGAGTCAGGGCATGCTGAATGCACAGTGAACAGAAGTCACCAACTGTCTGCAGAGTCAATGGCTAAAGACCTTCAAACTTTGTGTGGCCTTCAGATTAGCACAACAGTGCATAGAGAGCTTCCTGGAATGGGTTTCCATGGCCGAGCAGCTGCATCCAAGCCTTACATCACCAAGTGCAATGCAAAGTGTCAGATTTAGTGGTGTAATGCACGCTGCCACTGGACTCCAGAGCAGTGGAGATGTGTTTACTGGAGTGACGAATCATGCTTCTCTATCTGGCAATCCAATGGTCGTGTCGGGGTGTGGCGGCTACCAGGAGAACGGTACTTGCCTGACTGCAATGTGCCAAGTGTAAAGTTTGGTGGAGGGAGGATTATGGTGTGCGGTTGTTTTTCAGGAGTTGGGCTTGGCTCCTAGTTCCAGTGAAGGTAACACTTAAGCAGTCAGTATATCAAGAAATTTTGGACAATTTCATACTCCCAACTTTGTGGGAACAGTTTAGGGATGGCCTCTTCCTGCTCAAATATGACTGTGCACCAGTGCACAAAACAAGGTCCATAAAGACATGGATGAGGGGGTTTCGGGGTGGAGGAACTTGACTGGCATGCACAGAGTCCTGATATCAACCCAATGGAACACCTTTGGGATGAATTCGAGCGGAGACTGAGAGCCAGTCCTTCTCATCCGACATCAGTGCCTGACCTTACAAATGTGCTTCTGTTAGAATGGTCAAACATTTCCATAGACACACTCCTAAACCTTGTGGACAGCCTTCCCAGAAGAGTCGAAGCTGTTATAGCTGCAAGGGTGGGCCAACTCAATATTGAACCCTACGGACTAAGACTGGGATGCCATTCAAGTTCCTGTGCGTGAAAAGGCAGGCATTCCAATACTTTTGGCAATATAATGTATGTGTCATGCAATTATGTAGCATGTGCATGCGTTAAGGAAAAATTAATACTAAAACTACTGGAAAACATTTTTCTAAAGTGAATATTATGCTTTTTTTGACCAATCCTGTAAACCTGTATTAAGGAGTATTATTATTATTCAGTATTTATATAGTGCCAAAGGGTATGCTAAGCGCTGTACAGTAGCAAGGGGGACAGAACATGAGACAAGACAGTAACAATACAATACACGTGGGGTTCGAGGACCCTGCTCTTTCGAGCTTACAATCTAGGGTGGGCCAACTCAATATTGAACCCTACAGACTAAGACTGGGATGCCATTCAAGTCCATGTGCATGTAAAGGCAGGCGTCCCAATACTGTTGGCAATATAGTGTATGTATAGCTACATATTTGTCCAAGCTGGACCAATGTAACTGTATAATAGGCCAAACCTGAAATTATTCTTTAAAGTGGTTGTAAAGGTTCAAGGGTTTTTACCTTCATGCATTCTATGCATGAAGGCAAAAAATTTTCTCTGTGTAGCAGCTACCCCAGCCCCTCCAATACTCACCTAAGCCCCCTCTCGATCCAATGATGTGCACTGGAGTCTCAGCACAGGAGACTCCCGTTCCTCATTGGCTGAGACAGCATTGGGAGCCAGTGAGCCAATGAGAAGAGCCGCAACTCCGTGTGTAAATGGACACACAGCGGGTATCATTATTATTATTATTATACAGGATTTATATAGCGCCAACAGTTTGCTCTGCGCTTTCTGCTTGCTGCTCGCTGTGTGGCCACCCAACAGGAGGGAGGGGCCAGGAGTGCAGGTGGGGGGACCCAAGAAGAGGAAGATCTGGGCTTCTCAGATAATAATTTAAGCCTTTAATATCACTTTAAGTGAAGTGGATTCAGAACAGATGCCTTGCCAGCAGATTAACTGATTTACGACATTCTAATTAGGGTCACAGTACTCCAGTAAATTTTCTAAGGTGTAGGTAAACCCCACCACAACGCTTTGTACTGCAATGCATGTGTTGTAATTTGTTGAAGCAGGTTGTATTGGAGTGCGCTAAACAGCCTCTTTAAAATGAATAGGCTGCAAAACACCACAACACATATGAAAATGGGACAGGCCAGAGCAAGTCCATTGAAATTTAAATATGTTTTTAAGTTGAGATGGGGTGCCATTCTCAAAGGTCCTGCTGGTAGAGATAGAGCTGCATGGCTGACACTCAAAGGCTATGGTCCTAACTGGTGACCAGGCATTCTGAGGTCCTGTTCCTTATGGTGAATCATCATCAAACTCTGGTGACACAACTGCCTGTCTCTGTTCTATCTGTCCACAAATGTTGAAATTGTCTAACCTTTGATAGCCCACATGGATATGTCTCTTGTCTACCTCCTCTGGCATTTCACTCTCAACATTGTTTTAGACTATGATGTTGTCACTGTTTTCCCTCAAAACCTGCACTAGCAGTGTCTAAGAACCCATAATGAAGCCAGCAATCTCCAGCTGGTCCTGGGAAGTGGAGTGGGTAGAATGGGAAATGTGACAACATCACTGATAAATGGCTAAACAATTCTATGATACTTTCATAAGATTTCTGCTGAGCAAAGCACTAAGAGAGAAATAAAAAACCGAATAAATTAGAATTCTATTGGCTGACATTTTAACTAATAAAAACTGTAGTGTAAAACCTACTCCAGGGGAAGATAAAGAATTATCTTTTAAAAGCTGTTTTAAAGTAATCCCTTACTAATTCCATTAATCTGTAAGTGACCCTTATCTGATAAAGAAAAATCCAAGACAAAGTAGAGGGAGACTGTGGAAGGTTAATAAAATAATAAGAAGTCAACTGTAAGAGATTCTTATTTGTTCAGGATGGAGAGAAAAGGGGTAAAAATTCTCACTGCAAAAGTTGCACCTGTATCTCCTTCTTCTCACATTATGAATGATAGAGGTGAGTGGCAACAAAATTCAACATAAATGTGGCAATATGTATGGCTGTTCACTATAATAATACGTTCAAAAGGTAATCTTCTGCTCAGAATATGGTTTGAGTTAATTTGTGTTTTGTATTGCTTTTTTCATCATGCTTCCCCTGCTTCTACTAAAATGAGGAATACAAATAATATGAATAGCTGATGGTAGAGTTTTCTGATTGCTACATTTCTTAATTGTTTTATTTCTGCTAAAAATGTAGCCAAGTAATTAAACTGCATTTATTAACTGCCTATTTACTGCACATACCCAGAGGTGCTCAGGACAGTCCTCTCTCAGGATGTAAACTACCTCTCATGGTTGCTCTCCAAAATGTACAGTAGGCTTGCCATGCACATGCAGTTACAATTGAATAAAGAACAATCATACATAGTTTAATATACTTACATAGTTAGTCTGGCTGAAAAAAGACAAATGTCCATCCAGTTCAACCATAAAAAAAATATATATATATATAATAATCCTATATCCACAGTTGATCCAGAGGAAGGCAAAAAAAAACCCCCCTCAGCAAAGCATTATCAAATTTGCTCCCACAGGAGAAAAATTCCTTCCTGATCCCTCCAGAGGCAATCGGATGTTCCCTGGATGAAATGTACCTATACATTTTAGTATCCAGGTACAGTATACTATGTGTATCTAGGAAAGAATCCAGGCATTTTTTAAAGCAATATACTGAGCTGGCCAGAACCAACTCTTGAGGGAGAATATTCCACATTCTCGCAGCTCTGTGAGAATACTTTGAAGAAACCTTTCCGTATTTGGAGATTAAATTTCTTTTCCTCCAGACATAAAGAGTGCCCCCTTGTCATCTGTGATAACCTGAGGTTGAATAACTCTACACCAAGTTCACTATATGAATCACTGATGCAGTTATACATGTTGATCATATCTCCCTTAATCTCCTCTTCTGAAAAGAGAATAAATTCAATTTCTTTAATCTTTCCTCATAGCTGAGCTCCTCCATGCATCTTATCAGTCTGGTTGCCCTTCTCTGCACTTTCTCCAGTTCAACAATATTCTTTTTGTGAATTGGTGCCCAGAACTGAACTGCATATTCCAGGTGAGGTCTTACTAATGATTTGTACAGGGGTAACAATATCTCTCTCTCTGGAGTCTATACCTCTTTTAAGACAAGAGAGGATTTTGCTCGCTTTAGAAACAGCAGGTTGGCATTGCATGAGGACACTGAAGCATAGGGATTGTGATATACAGTAGGAGAGGGCTGAAAAAAAAAAGGTGGTTCGGACCTCTGTTGGAAAATAATTTGACTGGTCGGACCTCCATGAGTTTTAATTCAGTACAGCTGCCTTATAGCATTTATAAATATTTTTTTTTTTCCAAAAACAATTTTTATTGAGAAATAAGGCACAGAGGTAACATATACAGGTTACAATTGGTTCATGTATACAAATTAGTAAATGCCGGTATCCCTAATGGGGTGTACATCTAAAGCATATTGAATGGCATCAATTAACATGGCTTGAAGTAGAAGAAATTTACAGGAGTGAAACAGAAAAATAGAAGAGAACATGTTCCAAGCATGAATCTACATATTATAATGTGAACAGAACAGTTGGGTACAGAGATCAGCCAATACTCATATGATCATCTTTACATACAGAGTGTGATGTAATGCAATACGAAGTAGGAGGATGGTGGAAATAGCGGATGATGAGGCATTTACCCCTGGGGGCGGAAGCTAAGAAGCTGAAGTTGTATCTGTGGGTCTACTGATATTCTAAGTTCATCTAGACTTAAAAAAATTGGGGAAATAAATTTGAGAATGTAGGATAAAGCGGGGTAGGAGAGAGAGACAAAGAGGGAGAGAGGAAAGAGGGGGGGGGGGGGGGGGGGGTGGAAGAAGAGAAGAAAAAAGGAAGGGGGAAGAAGGGGAGGCAGCTGCAACTGCTCCAGGTTTTATAAATATATTAAGAAGTAAGGGTCCTAACACTGAACCTTAGGGTACACCACTAACAACCCTAGACCATTCAGGGTATGAATCATTAACCACTACTCTCTGAATATGATCTTTTAGCTAGTTTTCTACCCATTTACATTCAGATTTTTCCAAGCCCGTAGACTTTATCTACACATTAACCATGTGGGGAACTGTGTCAAATGCTTTTGCAAAATCCAATTATACCACGTCCACTGCCACCCCTCTGTCCAAAGTTTTGCTCACCTCCTCATAAAAAAGATAACAGATTTGTTTGACAACTTCTATCTTTCATGAATCCATGCTGT